ATGTGGCTAAGATAGGGAGTAAAAATTTTGTGTTTGATGGAAATTGGTGTGCAATGTGATGTGTACTGGAATAGTTAGGTCTCGTGGGGGTGATTGTGTGTGATGGGATGCCATTGATGGGTGAATTAATGATATTGTGAATAAAGGAAGGCTATGTGCCGTATATTGTGGATAAAATATAGGCTATGTGTCGTGTAATGTGAATTGAATATAGGTTGTGTGCCATGTGCAAGCATGAATATTGCGTGTATGAATGGAATGTATGTGAATGGGGCGTGTAGCGCTATTATAATATGCTGTGAATGGTTCAGTGATACACTGGGAGTGTGAAAGATGAAGACGGTAGAAATACCTTGGGGAGAAGAGAGTGGTGGTGACATCAACTGTGGAACAGGTGCACCACCGGCCACACATTCTCTCCTTTGCTGAGCGACCCATGACTGCCCACGTGGTATCCATGAGGGGGGTAACCGGCGACCATTCATGGTGTAAATATGTGATCACAGTACCATAGTGAGTGTGGTTGGCGTGCGTGTGCACGTGATTGTTATTAATTATAATTTTGAATGTGAAGTGTGTTGGTGCCGTGAGTGCATTGATGTTAAATTGAAATATATTGGATAATGATGTTGTTTGTGTTATATCTGTATAGATGTGTTGGAAATGAGTTAGAGGTGAGACTCTATGTTTGATTATGTTTTGGTAGTGTAGAGTACTCACCCTTACATTTATTTTTCAGGTAATTAAGACGATCAGCACCGAACTCAGTGAAGGGGTAGATGGGACTGCTATAGGACTTAGGATATTATTTTGAAAACTGTTGTATTTGAATAAGTCTTGTAGCAACTGTTTGATGTAATTTGTAACTCCATTTCTTTATTTGAGAGGTTTGATGAAACTTGGATTGAAAATGAAAATTTTATTATTTCAAAAAATTGCGAAATTCCTTATTTATTGAAATTAAGTTCAAGGTGTTACAATTTTTGTATCAGAGCAGTTCATCCAAACTGGACTGGGGTATCGAGCTGAAGTGTCCAAGATAAGTGTTGATTGTTTTGTTTGCCTAAACTATAATGTATAAATTGATCTAATGTGCTAGAATGTGATTGCTAACTTGTTGTAGCTAGATTGAATATGTCTAGTAGAGGTAGAGGTAGAGGTAGAGTAGCTAGAGGTTCGAATGACCTCATGGAATGCATGGCTTAGATTCTGGAAGCCATGGTGCACAATCAAGGCAGAGAGCAGACTGAGTATCGAGAGTTATCTGCCTTCACTAGGCATGATCCTCCAAAGTTTGAGAGGGGATTCAATCCTGAAGGAGCCCAAAGGTGGGTGGCTAATGTGGAGAAGATCTTCAATGCAATGGGGTGCCGTGAGGAGAACAAGGTTGCCTATGCCACCTACTTGCTGTGTGGGGAGGCTGAGGACTGGTGAAGGTTTGCCAGTCAGACCCTGCCACAGGAAGATGGCTATATCCAGTGGGAAACATTCAAGACCATCTTTCTAGGGAACTACTTTCCCTGCGACCTAAGGAAGCAGAAAGCTAGGGAGTTCCTTGAACTGAAGCAAGGAAGTATGATTGTAAGGGAATATGCAGCTAAGTTCCAAGAGCTGATGAAGTACTGGCCTCATTATTAGCATGGCAATGGAGAGGAGGATCTGTGTACTCAGTTTGAGCATGGATTGACGCCGGACATCCGAGCTGCAGTCAGTGTGTTTCAGCTGACAGATTTGCCCACCCTGGTAAGCAAGAGTAGAATTTTTAAAGCTAACTCAAGAGGGAAGACAGTGGACACTAGGGGAGCCAGCCCAGTGAGGCAAGATAGAAGGCCCCCTAAGTTCTCAAGGGGACCGTACTCGGGATCAAATAGCTCTCAATCTCGAGGGAGTTCATCTCAAGAGAAGAGTAGTGGGAGTGGTTCAGGATCGAGTTCTTTCAGAGGGCCGCTTAAATGCTTCAGGTGTGGAGGGCCACACATGGTGAAAGACTGCCCACAATCGAGGATAACTTGCAACAACTATGGGAAGTCGGGGCACATTGCCAATAAGTGCTGGGCTGCTAAGAGAAGCGGTAGTGCAAGTGCAGCTCAGAGGCCGGAATCAAGAGGAAGTACGGGGCAGAAGCCGAGCATTCCTGGCAGAGTCTTTGTGATACACATTTTCTATCGTAGTACTTAAATGGTGTAATTCACTACTAGCAAGTGTACTAGGTAGTTGTAGCAAGTTATAAAATGTGAAAATCAGATTGAGTCTCAAGTACCGTCCTCTAGGATCTTATTTTTAATCACCAACTCATAAGATAATAACCATTTGCACCAAACAATTCATTGAACAGATTTCAATATGCAAGAAAGTAAAATTCAAAAGTAAAGAAATAAGAAATTGTTAAAAACAGAATGTTAACTTGTACTATTAGAATGAATTACGAATGGAGGAAAGTTAGGAATTTATTTCACTAGAATATCAATATCAATTCAGTTCTGCCTCTGAACATTCAAGCAGTTGATTGATTGACAATCGGTTTCTCTTTACAATAACCAAAGATTGATTCCTCAACTCATTGGTCCTAATATTCAACCAAATCTCCCTAATTCCTTAGGCCAAATTTAGTTCAATATTGCATTACGAATTAAAACTGAAAGATTGCAAAACTAAGACCACTTATCCCTAAGAAAATCAATAGTTTTGGTGATTAATTCAGATCCAAGCAACAAACCCAATTTCCATTAGTGAAGGTTACTCTTTGATTAATCAATTGAATTTCCATTCAAAGATCAATTAAACATAGAATTAATCCCTCAATTAAATCAAATACTCAAAGTTCAGAGTCAAAACAAAATCAATATATCAATTCTAGATCCATAAATCCCTAACAAAAAGAGTTAGAAACACATTACAATGAAATAGAGAGAAGTAAGAAGGAAAGAAGATGAAAAGCAGAGAGCTATCTCCATAACTTTGCCTTCCCCCATATTCCTCTAGCAAAGAAGAACAAAAGTCGTTCCTCTCTTCTCCCTCTGACATCCCTTGGAAGTTAAAATGGTTACAAAATGAATAACAAAAACTAAAAAAATGACAAAAAGCTGCTTTTCTAAGTTTCTAATTCCTATTTATAGAGTTCCTCTAATTCTTCGACTTAACCCTTGAAATTCTGATAGTTAGTTATCCCCAGGTGTTCTGGAATCTTCTAAAAGTGATACAGAAGCTTCAAACATCCAAAATTGACAAAAAGAAGAAGTTATAAAGTTGCAGAATTCATTGCCAAAACGCGTAGTGGTTGAAGTGAAGGTGCGCGATTGCGCGCCTTGGCTTCAAGTGATGTGCGTTTCAACGCAGAACACTTCAATTAATGCTTCTTCTATGTGCTTAGCTCTGCGTTGCTACGCCATCTGCTATGTGTTTCCACTCTTTGTTGCGCGCCAAAGCGCCAGGTGATGTGCATTTCAACGTAATGGCAGTTATCGAGGTTCAGTGCTGTATTTTGTTCTTTCCATGTTCAAACGCCAATCACTTGGAGTTGTAACGCCCAGCTCTTAGGATTTCTTCAAGCTTGATTCTTTGACTATTCTTCTTCAATTTCAGCTTTTAATCCTTCCTTTAAGCACTTTCAACAACTTTCCATCTTTTTGCATGAACTCCTACAAAAATCTAAACAATTTTTAATATTTCAACAAAACAACAATTTATACTAATTATTTTATTTTTGTGATCTTTTCAAGTTTATTTTAGAACTATTTTCCTAATTATTAACGAAAAACTATGCTAAAAACATGGTAAAATATGGATTTATCACCACCCCAAACTTAGAATTTTTGCTTGTCCTCAAGCAAATCAAATCAAACACAAGGGAAAGGGAAAAATCCAATTGACAAGAATTCAATCATCAAACTGATTTTTCAACATTTCTAATACCCAATTCTGTATCTTTCTGATTTCTCATCCAAGTCAAGTTATTCATCCATTGATCAACAGGATCATTACATTGTTTTAACCACTTAATCAACAAAAACATGCCATTTGAATTCATGTAATTCAGCAAAGTTTCATATGAGCAAAATTGAAAAATATGTTCACAGCTCACAAGTAGTGTTTCCCTAATCACTCAATTAGTGTTTAGGCTTAGTATTTGCTCTCAAAATCATCATTTTTACTACACTCTACCATAGGCTTGCATAAATTCTCAATCTCCTCTAAAAAAATGTAACAAATCACATATTTAGAGGGCTTTCAGGTGAAATTGAGGTTAAAGGATAGGTAGGTGTTCAATCAATTTGGGAAATAATGCAAGTTATGCCAAACAGAAAAGATGCAATTTTGAGCTACCGCTTGAGAGGGAAATAAAGTTTGCTATTAACCTCATTCCGGGGGCAAGTCAGATTTTTGTGGCACCTTACAGGATGTCACCAGTGGAATTGGCGGAGGTCAAGAAATAAGTAGAAGATTTGTTACAGAAATAGTTTGTGAGACTGAGTGTGTAACCGTGGGGAGCACCAGTGCTCTTGGTGAAAAAGAAAGATGGAAGCATAAGGATGTGTGTAGTTTATCGATAGTTAAATAAGGTAACAGTCAAGAACAGGTATCCACTTCCAAGGATCGATGATTTGATGGACCAATGAAGGGGAGCAGCAGTGTTTTTGAAGATTGATTTGAGATCGGGATACCATCAAATTCGAGTGAAGAATGAGGATGTGCCTAAGACAACGTTCAGAATGCAGTATGGTCATTATGAGTATTTGGTGATGCCGTTTGGGGTGACCAATGCGCCTGTGGTGTTCATGGACTACATGAATAGGATCTTCCACGAGTTTTTGGATAAGTTTGTGGTAGTGTTCATTGACGACATCCTTATCTATTCAAAGACTCAGGAAGAGCAGGCAGAGCACTTGGGAATTATCCTGCAAATTCTGAGGGAAAGGCAGCTATATGCGAAATTCTCCAAGTGTGAATTCTAGTTGTCAAAAATTTAGTTTCTGGGGCATGTGGTGTCGAAGGAAGGAATCATGGTAGACCCTGCAAAAGTGGAAGCAGTGGCTGAGTGGCCGAGGCAGACGAATGTGACTGAAGTTCGTAGTTTTCTGGGACTAGCAGGTTATTATAGAAAGTTCATTGAGGGGTTTTCCAAGATAGTGTTGCCCTTAACAAAGCTGACTCGCAAGGGAAAGGAGTACAAGTGGACCAAAGGGTGTGAAGCTAGTTTCCTAGAGCTGAAAATAAGATTGACTTCAGCGCCGGTGTTAGCGCTACCCAACGCCAAGCAAAAATTTGATGTGTGTTGTGATGCATCAGGGCAAGGACTTGGTTTTGTTTTGATGCAAGACGGGTGAGTGGTCGCCTATGTCTCGAGGCAGTTACGTCCGTATGAAGTCAACTATCCGACACACGATCTGGAGTTAACCGCGGTGGATATTTCCCTTAAGGTATGGAGGCATTACCTATATGAGGCGAGGTTTGAAGTGTTCAGTGACCACAAAATTTTGAAGTACCTGTTTGACTAGAGGGAACTGAATATGTGGCAGAGGAGATGGATAGAATCCTTCAAGGACTACAACTTCACATTGTCTTACCACCCTGGCAAGACAAATGTGGTAGCCGATGCGTTGAGCAGGAAATCATTGCACGTGGTAGCAATGATGGTGAAAGAAACGGAGCTAATTGAGGAATTTTGGGACATGAATTTAGCCATGGTGGTGAGGCCAGGGAGTTTGTATTTCGGAGCGACGATGATTCACAATGACTTTTTAGTGTACGTCCGAGATGCTCAGCAGGGAGATGCCTTCTTGCAAGACATGATGAGACAGAAGGATGAGGGAAAGGACTTAGAGTTTCACCGTGATGAGAACGGGGTGATTAAGTTCTGAAACCGAGTGTGTATTCCTCAAGTGGATGAGCTGAGACAGATGGTGCTTAAGGAAACACATAAGAGCAGGATGAGTTTTCACCCCGGTGTAACTAAAATGTATTAGAACCTCCGGAAGAGTTTTTGGTGCAATCGAATGAAGAGAGATGTGGCCGAATATGTGGCTAAATGCCTAACATGCAAGAAGGTGAAGGTAGAGCACCAGCGTCCACCTGGGTTGTTACAGCCGTTAGAGATCCTTGAGTGGAAATGGGATAGTATTTCCATGGACTTTGTTTCTGGGTTGCCTAAGACTAGGAACAACCATGATGCCATCTGGGTGATAGTAGATTGATTGACCAAGGCTGCACACTTTCTCCCGATCAACATGAAGTATAAATTGGAGCGACTTGCGGAGTTATATGTACGGGAGATAGTCAAGCTGCATGGAGTGCCGACTAGTATGGTGTCAGATAGAGATCTGATGTTTACCTCGAGGTTTTGGGAGATCCTGCAATGGGCGTTGGGGACTAAGTTGAGATTGAGCTCGGCTTATCACCCACAGACTGACGATCAGACTGAACGAACCATCCAGTCCCTGGAGGACTTGTTGAGGGCTTATGTGCTCGAGCGACAAGGAACTTGGGAAGAGTGCTTGGCTCTGGTGGAATTCACGTACAACAACAGTTACCATGCTAGTATTGGAATGGCACTGTTTGAGGCCTTGTATGGGCAAAGATGCAGAACCCCATTATGTTGGTATGAAACCGAAGAGGCGACTCTATGTGCGCCGGATATGATCCAAAGGCAGAATGAGCAGATCAAAATAATTAGAGATAAAATGAAGACTGCCCAGGATCGACAAAAGAGCTATTATGATAAAAGGAGGAAGTCGTTGGAGTTTCAGGTGAGTGACCATGTATTTCTGAAGGTCTCGCCTGTAACTGGAGTGGGGAAAGCTCTGAAGTCTCGAAAACTATCTCCTAAGTTTATTGGGCCATTCGAAGTGGTAAGTTCGCACTGCCTCCAAATCTCTCGAACCTACATCCGGTGTTCCATGTGTCACAGCCTAGGCAATATGTTCCAGATCCTTCCAATATGATTGATCTTAACCCGGTTTAAGTAAGCGAAGACTTGTCGTATGATGTGTACCTGGTGAGGATTGCTGATCACCGTTTTAAACAGCTAAGGGGCAAGGACATCTCACTGGTGAAGGTAATATGGAGCTCAAGTGATGAGGGAGATGTCACATGGGAAACAAAGAGTAGAATGAGAGAGTTATACTCGGAGTTGTTGAGTAATTTATGTGCAGGGTTAGTTGAATTTTAGGGACAAAATTCCTTAAAGGAGGGGAGAGTTGTAACGCCCCGAATTTTGTAATATTAATTATTGTTATTTATATATATAAATCTGAATACTTGTATATGTGAGTATAAGTGTATATGAATGTTGAAAATTTGCATTGAATGCGTAATGATGGTGTTTTATGTGTAATGAGTATGAATATGTGTATATATATGTATGTTGTGGATGTGAGTATATATATATATATGCATGACTGGATAGGGTTGAAAATGGGCTAAGTGCCTAAGTGCAGGGTGTAATACTGGGTTGTCCTCGCTGCAGCGAAAGGATTCTAACTGTAGCGAGAGAGCCCTGGGAGGAAGGACCGAAACTATCGCCTTCTCGCCGTAGCGAGATACATTTCGCTGTAGTGACAAAGCGACAGTTTGGAGCGCATTTCTGGGTGCAGTCTCGCTACAGCGAGAGGGTCTTGCTGTAGCGAGATTCTGCAGAAACCAGAGTGCAGTTTTCTCTGGGTTTTTTGCTGTAGCGAGAGGGCATGTCGCTGCAGCGAGAGTGTCACGATCAGAACAAGATTTTAAAGGTGTTAGGGTTTGGGGAGGGTTATTTCTCCCTTTCCCTTCAAAGTCCCTTGGATCCTCTCATTCCCAAACCCTTTTCCACCGATTACATTGCCTCCAAAGCCGTTCGGAAGCTACATTGAAGGTTGAATACGTGTGGGGAACGCTTGGAGGTGAGTTTTAAACTGATAGGGTTTTCATTTTTCCTCTCTCTTTTTTTTCTATTTTTGTGATTTCTGGGATTTTCATGGAGTTTCTCCATGTGTTTAGGACGAAATCCGTGAGGGGGAGCACTTCTTGGTGGATTTAACATGTGGGTTTTCGATCCGAGGTAAGGGGGACTCTACCCTATCTCAATGTGTTGCAATTCTTGTGTGTTTTGTTGATTAATGCAATGTGGCTGTGATCATAGTGCCACAGTGAGTGTGGCTGGCGTGCGTGTGCACAGGATTGTTATTAATTATAATTTTGAATGTGAAGTGTGTTGGTGCCGTGAATGCATTGATGTTAAATTGAAATGTATTGGATAATGATGTTGTTTATGTTATATTTGTATAGATGTGTTGGAAATGAGTTAGAGGTGAGACTCTATGTTTGATTGTGTTTTGGTAGTGTAGAGTACTCACCATTACATTTATTTTTCAGGTAATTAAGACGATCAGCACCGGACTCAGTGAAGGGGTGGATGGAACTGCTATAAGACTTAGGATATTATTTTGAAAACTATTGTATTTAAATAAGTCCTGTAGCAACTGTTTGATGTAATTTGTAACCCCCTTTCTTTATTTGAGATATTTGATGAAACTTGGATTGAAAATGAAAATTTTATTATTTCAAAAAATTGCAAAATTCCTTATTTATTGAAATTAAGTTCAAGGTGTTACACTACGCAATTGAGCGCGTAGCTACTTCAACTGCCTAGAGTGGCTATACAGTAAGCGCGTAGCCACTTCAAGTGCATAGAGTAGCTACGCATGAGGATCCTCCCATGTAGAACACTTGCGCGTAGACACTTCAACCACTTAAAGTGTCTACGCAAAAGTAACAGAATTTTAAATATCACTTCTAAGTGTCAACTTTGGATGATTTGAGTTCTTATATCTGTTTTAGAAGCTTCTAGAAGATATTTGATGCTAGAATTCTCAGAGATTAATGTGTATAAAGGAAAAAGGCGTGAAAAACCTTATAAATAGAAGTTAAAGGTTCAGAAAATAGGACTTTTGGTTCATTTTTGTTATTTTTCACTTTGTAACTGTTTTAACTTCCAAGAGAAGTTAGAGAGAGAGATGGGGAGCGACTTTCAAGCTTCATTGCTAGAGGAATCAGTGTGAAGATTGAGTCTTGGAAGATGTTCTTCTGCTTCTTGTCTTCATCTTCTCTTACTTCTCTTTTTTCCATTGTAATGTTGTTCTAAACCTTTTTTGTTACGAATATATGGATCCAGATTTGATGTTGTGATGTAATTATGGATTGAATCTTGAGATTTTAATTGAATTGAGTATATGATTATGTTCTTAATGCAGTTATGGACTAATCCTTCATTCAATTGAATTTAGAGGAATTTTTGTCAATGGAAATTGAGTTTATTTCTCAGATATGAATCATATGCCTAGGTTATTAAGATCTTAGGAATAAGTATCATAATCTAGTAATCCTATAATTTCCAGAACTTAATGCAATATTTGATTGAATTTCACCTAAGGAATTAGGGAAGTTTAATTATATATTAGGATCAATGAGGTAAGGAATTGTCATTTGGTTAAAGAAGTGAAATTGATTATCAATTAATTAAAATTCTCAAGAGTTCAGAACATGATTATATTGCAATTGAAAATCTGGTGAAGTGATTCCTGACTATTTTCCATATAGCATTCTTAATACAAAATTTGTATTCTGTTTTTACAGCAAGTTTATTACCTTTTATTGTTTTTATTTCTTACTTTTACATGTTACAAACCTGTCAAATGAATTGTTTTGCTTAACTAATTGTTAAATTGTGAAGTGGTAATTGAAATAAGATCCTTGTGGACAATACTTGGGGCTCATATTGAATTTTAATTTTTATTACTTGCTACAACTACCTAGTACACTTGCTAGTTAGTATTTCTATCAAATTTCAAGTAACAACCAACCTACACACACAAAGACACATATTAGTTTTTTAAATCTGCTAGAAATAAAAATTATTTTTTAGTAAAAGTTAAAAAAGAAATAAATCAATTTTTTTTTGTTAAATCTTTTAAAATGAATACACAAAAAAATTAGAATTAAATCATTTTCAAAATATAATTTTTTTTAGTTTTTTTAGATGTTAAGTTCTTTTTTTAAAAAAAATATATGCAAGAATAATAATAACATCCATTAAATATGTTCATTTTTAGGTAATTAACTCCCTTTTTTAAATAAAATATATTTTTTTAAAATATAAAAATATGCTTTTCAAGTTATTAAGTTTTTTTTTTCAACCTTCAAATAAAAAATAAAAAAACAATTTTTTTTAAATTGTTTTGCTTGAAATATAAAATATGATTTGAGATCAATGATCTTTTGAGATATCAAATCTTGTTTTTGTCTAAGACAATAACAACTTATACTTGAGGCACATTTTTAAAAATAAAAAAAT